AGAGAACATTTTAAAATCACATTCTTAGGAATGAAATGTGCATGTAGCACTTCTCCCTGTCTTATTGGACACGAACTTACGGTGGAATTTTTGTCAGAGAGAAAGATAATTGTTTGAAAACTGCGCAAGCAAAACCAATGTATCCAATGCAAGATGGCCGCTGGCTTCATTTCTCACTACGGCGAGTAAGCTGGATCGTTAGTCCATCCTATACAAGTCAGTGACTGAAACCAGTCAAGGAATCCAGCGTTGCCAAAGGCAAACAAATCCCGATATGTGAAGTTATGTAGATAGCAGCTAATAGCTAAGAGGCTAACGGAAGGCCGAAAGATGTCTTAACCAACTTCAGTGAAATGTGACGGCAAAACAAAAAGTAAAAGAAACCGCAGAGGGTTTCAACTCATCTTGCCCGTGGATAAAGCGAGGCTCCGTCAGGGCTTTCAAGCTTCTTTGTGCACCCGTTGGAAACATAATTACCCGCTCAAGCGCCTCTCCTTATTTCCCCATCACTTCCCGGAGATCATGATCCTGTGATGCCCCACCCTAGCTTCCTCATCCCCCCCCCTATGCAAAACCACCCCCAAGTTCAAATTAAGAATTTATTTTAACCAGCGAGCGGCTTCTGTCGACACGTGTCGGCGTGCCTGATCAAAGGTGAGCGCACAGCTTTATCAGAGTGGGGGGGTTGGGATTGTATAGGGAGGGCTGTCAGGAAGAGGAGGACATTAAGATTGAATAACCTTCACACGCTTGGCAGCACCTCATTACTTAAATATCGAAAAACTTTGGTACACCCCCACATAGTACCTGATTGGTTGGTCACACTTCCTAGCGCCAGGCATTGTTAACCAGCGTTAATAATTGAGAATTTAATGCATACATTCAGTTTTCAATGTCAGCTTTCTTTTGCTTATTTATATTAAAAAAAAAAAAACTGAACTCAAAGCCCTCACAGCCACTTTTTTTTTTTAATGGCAAATCCTTGAAATTATCCTAAAACTCATTTGCCGACATGCACCACGAATGTGAGACAGCGGAGGCAAGAAAGTGTCGTAGTTTAGAGTCTGTGCGCCATTTGATGCTTGCATTTGGGCAAATTCCTTTGTAGGGGTTTGTCAAATCGCAAGTCCTAGACTTCGCTCAAAATGGCTGCTTCAAAACAAAATGGTTGACTTCCTGAGACTTTGTTGTGAGTCCAATCATGAGAGGCATTGGTGAAACCGGTGTTGGGGGCTAATATTTGAGTCATTTTCCAAGAGGCCGCAACTGAGTGGGTTTTGTGTGAGACCCGTAAGACAAGAGTGAAAGTCATGAGAAACACCATTTCAACGTTGCCTCTCTTTCCTGTCTGACGGGTCGAGCCCTGCTGGGAGTGGAGTGGAGCACCAAATCCCCTGCCAAAAAAAACCCAAAATAATTTAAAAAATAAAATAAAAATGGAGATGAACAACAGAGAATCATCATTTGGTAAAGCGGAGAAGAACAAGTTGTCATCTGCCACTGCTGAACCGAGGTGAGCCCCACCATAGTGTCGACCCAACGCCACCAGGCCGCTTTTAAGACACGTGTTTCCAGAAATGAAGAGAACTAAAATAGACATATGTGCAGTATACAAGGGCAGAAAGAGTGTCGGACATGTTCTTATAATTACACACAGGCAGCAGCAGCATCTTAAGCCTTGCTCACCATGCTACCAAAAAGCCTAATTAAAGCTCAGCTTTGTCGCTACGCGCCGCATTATGCCGTCTTTCTGTCTTTTGTTAGCGTTTGGCTCAGCGTCCTGTCACACATGAATGTGAAACAGGAAGCAGGGGCCTGGAGACCACTCATGGGGGTCTTTTTAGAGATAGCTCTGATTAAGCGTGAAACTTGTCGGGGGGTCGCGATGGATATTGTGGCCGCATCCATCAAAAGTGGCAACCTGGGCTGTCACCAAGGACGATAAAGGGCCATGCTTGAGAAAAAAAAAAAAAAAAACATAACGGGGGGAGGAAAGTTGGAATGTTGCAAAAATGATTGGTACGTCATTAGGACAAAGTTGCATTTGAGGATAAAGTTTGAATATTAGAATAGTAATAAAACAATATTCATTGGATTGAGAGTCAATTCAAAATACTCATGGAAAAAAGTTAATAAGCAGAAAAAAAAATACATATTTTACCAGAGATGAAAATTACAATTAAAAAATAGACACTTCCCTTGAAAAAAGAAAAAAAATAAAGCTAAGAAAATTGGAGGTCTCGGTGGAGGTCCCGCTGAGCCAATGGAATACTAGGATGATGCTCGGTAGTAGCCAATGGAAGAGCAGCTATAAGTATGTGGCGTTCAGGAAACTTTGAGCTTCGAGTAGCAGCCCATACTGTCACCTTTCGTAACTTGAAATTTCTTTCATAACTAGAGGCAACATTTTCCTGTTGAGGCGTTTCATAACTTAAAGATTTCGTATGAAGACATGTTCGTAAGTCGAGGTACCACTGTATTATGAGAATAAGAGGGATATTAAAAGTCCAAATGAGCAACAGTCGTTCGGACATCACGCGTCATTGACACTTCTCTTGACTGAAAAATTATTCACAAGTCAAATAAGGAAAAGTGAGAAATTAATTTGCACGTTTCTCCGCAGGCAGATATCGATCACGCAGCGGCCCGTCTCCCGCTCGCACAGACGCGTGTGTCTGAGGGGGTCCTCGCAATCGGGCACAATGACGGGAGGCCTCCACAAATCAGGGTTACGGTGGACTGAGAGACAATTCATAACATACAACCGCCCGCTAATATCGGTCAATACAAATTAGCACAGTGGCACACAAATATTCTTCTGCTGACATTTAGGGCATTCTATTGTCAGCTTTGAAGGTCAAATCAAAAACTGCGGGAAAAATTATCATCCTCAGTGAAATTGAAGTGATTCAGTGAAGACACAAATCTTCAGTTGTGACAACTTTCCCACATTTCAAAATATCATCAATAACAATGCTCACATGTAATAAGGAGAAAAAGGTTTCTGCAATTGCCGAATACTGACTTTGACTGTAATATTGATGGACCAGCCAGGGCACCACACATATTGCTATAGTGCTAGCATTAACGTTAACGATACTGATTCAGAGTTGAATTGACTACTCCAATACCGACAAATTTAAGTGGACCTGATCAAATGTTGGAATGATGTTAATAGTATATCTCCCCTATATGGTAGTTGAACATATATGGGAGACTAGCCAGGACGTAACTCATGTTACATTACTGCTAGCGTCAATGCTAATATTACTGTTCAGAGTTTAATCCAACACTTCAATTTTAACAAATGTCTTCCTATGAAGCAGTTAAGTGATAATGAAAGCGAAATCAATCAATTTCCCCACCAGATAATGCAAGCAAACACTAGTGATGCTTTCACTCAAAAGAAATAACGTGGTTGTGTACAACAATTTCTTGTTTTAACACCAAAATAGCAGCATCACAATCATGTTGATGGTAGCTTCTTGTCTTGTCTTGTGCCAAACCCAACTTTCTCACAATCCCCCAAGGTCCCCAGCTTGTAGGGCCAAACCACCCATATTACCTTGAAAATTGCTACTTCTGAGACTTAACCTTTAGCAGAGACAAAAGAAGTGGAAATATCCAGTGTGGTGCATTGGGGGGCAGCCTCCATTCATAGGGGAACTTTGGGTTGGGTGGGGGCGGTAGGGTTCCACTCTTAACCTGACCTGAATTGCCGCGAGGGTCCTGGAGGGCCAGACTTAATGCCGTGCTTGGAGACGGGACGCATTCATCTACATACGACATGGTGGTGGAAAACAAAGTCAAACACAGGCACGAGGACCACTCTAAACAACTCCATGCGTGCGTTTTCTCTCTGCCACCGTGCAGCCAACTCACTGAAAGCGTCAGGGATTGAAGTCACAATCTCACGGGAAAAACTTATATGCACGCACACTTCATATATTGCTACAGCGGGAAGAAAAAACTTGCAGGATATAACATTAGTCATTAATAAAATCTGAATATTCCATGAAGTCATAATCACGAATCATAATCAATTCTGATATTACAAGATATTTCACCTCATATCATAATACAATGAGAAAAATATTCAACTTTCACAGGAAGCAAAGTCTTAATTTTATGACCAAAACACAGCAAAAAAAAACCTTCCAGAATAAAATTGCACTATTGCAACGATGAAGAAAAAAACAAACCTACATTCAGTTGCTAAATGAGGAGAAAAGAAAATCAAAACGGCAGTGGAATGAAATCACGTTACAAGAAAAAAAACAACTCACATTTTTAAGCATGAAGTCTTCGAGAGAATCAAATATTACGTCAAATATGATGAGAAAAATAAAATCGTATGAGAACAACACCATATCACAAGAAATACAAGAAACACTCAAAATCTTACCGAAGAAAATGTTTATATGATGAACAAAACAGTATTTTCAGAGACAAATTCACATTAAAAAATAAGATCCTGCATTAGAAGGACAAAACAAAATTAGTATAAGAATAAAGTCATACAATTACCGGTGTATGAAAATAACCCCCGAAATCTACAAATTTTTTTTTTCTTTTACAATTTACTCCATTTTATTTCATCAAGTGGTTGCACTTTACAGATACATTTTTTTAAAGTAAAAAATGTAACTGGATGAAATAAATAACACATATATAGAGTAAATTCAACTCCATTTCTTCAGCGTAATAGAAAGAGCACAAATAAAAAAAAGATTTTACACGAATCACAAGAGTGAAGCCGTCGTTTTATGAGAATAACACACTCGGCAGCAATGCAGGTTACTCAATAAAAACCTCAACAACAGGAAACGCATAACCTTGTGAACCCAAGACACACACACACACACACACACACACACACACACACACACACACACACATCTTATTTTAAACCCCCCTCATACATATTAGAGGGATTAGAGGTTTGAGGCCACCGATCCACCTTCCAGACGAAAATGATGAAATATGAAATGGAGCATTACCGCTTGGAATGGCGGTGTGCCCGGGACTGTGCGGCTGAAGCTCCTCTGTCACATTGTCTTCTACTGCCACAAACAGAGAAAGAGAGAGAGGAGGGGAGAAAGGGGGGAGTCGGGGAAAGATATGGTTAATAGTGGAAAAACAACTTTGAGATTTCCCTCTCTTTTTTTTTTTTTTAATTTATCACAGAAAAAGAAGTGGCGGAGGGGGAAAAAAAAACTGCCGGGATATTTGGCCTGCTTTCCGCAGCTCAACCTGAGACTTGGAGTCCTCGCGGGGCTTACGGGTGAGTTTTATTGGCAACAAGGCAAAGAGCCACCATGTAAGTAGCATCCATGAATAAAGGACACGGCCGGTGAAACGTTGCCCACACACGGATGAGTGACTTCGCTAAGAAGGTGCATCAGACGCCAACGACTTGAAGGAATGCTGACTTGCCAAAGAACAAGCAGGAGTCTCTGTGAAGCGCCTATTCCCTCTTTTAGGCACGCCACGCAGAATAGTTGATCGGCACTCATTCGAACGATGGTCTCTAATTAACGGCCCGCGGGCCATTTGCGGCACGCAGGATGATATTTTTCTTTTTTGTGGGGCACCTCTGTTTTTTTGTGTAAAGTGCTGATGGGAGGTATATCTCTACTCATTCAAGAATTCTTCGGGTTAAAAAAAATATATATAAGACAAATGGTCGCAAATGGTTGCTATTTGCAGCAGGAGGCAGACGATAGGGCCACAAATCATATTTTTCATACACTAGTCAAATCATGAAGACAATTTTAAAAATATATAAATAATACTTGTTGGTTTGAATAAAAATTGCAAACTTCCACTTGACAGTGCTGTCGTCGGAAGTGGCAGGGAGTCCTATTTTTGCAAGGACATTATTGTTTCGATGTGATACCTTTCCGTTCAATGACCTTCCATTCTCAGTTAAGGCTCATAATTCCCTTCAAGAGTTTCCAGGCTTTTTCTTTAAAGCCTTGATGCTCTGCACCAATTCATTCATATTCATTGCATATTTAAACTATAAATTTACAGTACTGTGTGTGAATGCAAACTCAAAAAAAAAAAAAGGACAAATCCAAGGGGGAAAAACATTTGGAATTGTGAGGAATGTCGAGATTTTTATGTTATAGTGCTTTTTAGATATGATTTGAATTGATCACTTTATGAAAATTGCCATTGGCGGCACCAATAAGCGCATGAGATAGAAGTAGACTATAAAATATTACACAATGATAAAGAAAATGGCAGGATCTAGAAAATATAGCTCAGCAAAATGTTGCTTTTGACTTCAAATTGTTCCTGCTTGTATTCTGACTGTGTTGGCAAGGTTCTGGCTAAGTGTGCATTATATTTCATGAAAGCTTGACTGTGGATGACGTGAGAAACAATGACTTCTCCGGTAAAAATGGGGTTACGAGCATGCAAATTAGCTCACACATGTGCTCAGGCCACCCCCCTGAAAAATTTCTGGCTACGCCTCTGCCTAGAGCACAACAACTCGTACCACTCTTTCGACGACAGCGGCGACTCCGAGAAACGAACAGCTTGCGCTTAGTCAAAAAGCATCCAGGTAAGCTTTCACGTCAGAGGCTGCGTGAGGTTTCATAGCGGCGTGTCAAGTACGAGGAGTGAAATGGATTTGAACAGTGGGAAGAGAACAAAAGAGTCTCCCACCTGTTCCGTGTAAAATGAAGGTCTCGCTGAGGCCTTCTTAACGCCTCTGCGTTCCAACCGTGAAGTCGAATTGCATTCTCCATTATGTATTTTCCAGCCTTTCATTTTCGACGGCATGGAGTTGGGGGGGTGGGGGGTAGTGTGACAGGACCTCCTGGCAGGGGAGCGCGCCATTGACTGCCGAGGCAGGAAGTGCAGCACTTTTAAAAGCACGCAAAATATCCTGTACTTTGCATAATTAAGACGAGAGCCTATGGCGACAGAAGCCTTTCGCCTTGGGGGTGCGCGAGTCAAATGGGAGCGTGGTGTGCAACTGCCGTGAAAAAAAAACAAAGAGAAAAAGTTTGGCTGTCACAAAGGAGAATTATAGTCATGCTGAAAAGAAAAAAATAAGTGTACAGTATAATAAGAGGGCAAGGTCAACATGTTCAAAACAGGAAGGCTTCCGCTTTGTTACCAGAAAAAAAAGGAATTTTACAGAAAAAAAAATTAAATAAAGTTGAAATATTATAAGGAAAGAGTTGCAGCATGGTAAGAAAAAAAAAGACATTTTACACAAGGGTGAATTCGTGAAATTCTGAGGATAAATATGTAAAATTATCAGGGGGGTAAAAAGTCACAATTTTACACATCTGAAGCCAGAACTTATGAAAGTCAAGTCCAAATATTATTGCAACTCTTTTGCAATTAAAAAAAATAAAAAAAAGACATTTCAACCAGAATAAAGTCAGGGATTTATTTTTTTTGACAATCAGCTAATTAATTGGTTACACTGCTGTAATCGCGCAAACCCAAGTTGTAATTTTACGAAGTAAAACGAGACATTTTTGGGAGAAGAATGCCACATTACTTTGACAAAATGCCATTTTTTTTCTCACGTATTTACTGCTTTTCCATAACTTTCCTTTCCCTTCCGGTGCATCCCAAACACTCCTTTTTTATCATCCGGCCAAATATGTTTTTTTGTTGACCTTTTTAAAGGATTGCCAATGATCACTCCTCTGATTGTACATCTCGCCCGTCGCCGCATACGCCAAACAAATCACGGTGCCGGCAATTAATTAGCGCCGTCATTTAATGCAAAGAGGCACGGTCAGATAGCGTGGAGGGACATCCCTCAGCGCCGCCGCTGAAGACGGAGTCAGCCAAGGCGCTCCTACTGGAGCGGGCCTCGGTGACTGACTCCCCGAGAGTTTAATGAGTTTCTCCAACGCCGTCGAGCTCCTCGTGCCTCAGATCATTTAAATAGGGCCAGGGATGAGTGTGGGGGGCGGGGGGGGGGGTTCTCCTCATAAATCCCCCGTGGTTCCATCAGAGATGGGTGGCAGGGTTTCTCTTTTTGTTTTGATTACCATCCCTGTTGGTGAGATGAGGGAGTTCAGGCAGAAAATGTTCTTTTATGATACCATAAGAAGCCGTGGCGGTCGAGAGATGATTTATCGCCCGCTGTAAGCGTATGAAAGGTTTTGTCATTGGGACAAGTTGGAGAAGAGTTCACATTCATGTCTCTCAACCACCCGGTCTCATCACGGAAATATTTGGAGGGATAAATGCGATACCTGGCTTGGGTTTCTAGTGTGAGATGCTCATATGCAAATGATAAGGGGTGGGAATCACACTAAAAGTTCATTTTATCCTAAATTTTAAAAAAAATAAATAACTTGGCCTTCCACGTACCAACATAATGAGCAACATTAGTATACATTTGCGCTGTAGGCCAAAATGTTAACCAAAATATCAGGCAGAGGTTTTATTTGATATTGGCCACTGTAAAAATCCTGCACTTCAATATACGTATAAAAAAAAAAAGGTCCTTCGATTAAATGGATGGCGTGTACATGGGGAAAACATGCCAATAGACCAGTCAATGTACTGGGGGGAAAACCACGTAGGATACATCACCAGGGAAGAATGCACAGAAAAAAGGGGAGTCATGTGACATTATCAAGTCACAAATGTTAATTCAGCCAATGACGTTTACCACTGGCTAAGCATTATGCAGCTTAGTCCAAATGTGTGTGTGAGTGTGTGTTTTTCTTTTTTATAGTGATATTCCATCCAGTTGGATTGATAATACATAATTAAGTGTATTGCCATTTTAAGGTTTTGTCCCACCGCAAAAACTATGTGAATACTTTTAACTAGAACCCGCCTGCTTAATCGGGCAGCTAATTTAATCAGCCCATGTATCCATCCATCCATCCATCTATGCATTTTCCGATCCGCTTATCCTCACAAGGGTCGCCGGGGATGCTGCAGCCTATCCCAGCTGTCTTCGGGCAGTAGGCGGGGGACACCCTGAACCACTTGCCAGCCAATCGCAGGGCATAAACAGATGAACAACCATCCACGCTCACATTCACACCTTAGGGCAATTTACAGTGTTCAATCAGCCGCAGCCTACCATGCATGTTTTTGGATTGTGGGAGGAAACCGGAGTAGCCGGAGAAAACCCACGCAGGCAAACTCCACACACAGGGAGGCTAGAGCTGGACTTGAACTTGGTATCTCTGTGAGGTCGACGCGCTAACCACTGGGCCGCCTCGGCCTATGTAAACTCTTTGAAATAAATCTTTTTATTTTTTTCTTGAATCAGCCATCATTTTCTGATTTTTCTCTCTGTCCTAAAGTTAAGCACGAAAGGGCAAGGCATTGTTAACACTTCAATGTTGTACCTGCAATTGTTGTTGTAGGTGTTAAGGAACACCTACAAGGATTAATGTACTGGTTAATCGGTTTACAGAGTTTTATTTTGCCAAATATCGGAATCAGCAAGTCCATCAGTTGGGCCCTACGTTGAACACTATGAATGACCTGCAATAATCTGTGCAATGATCTTTTCAATTTTTCAGCCCAAGAACAGAATGTGCGTTTCCCCATTCAGTTCCTCTTGCATGTCAGGTAGCAATTTGTGGTCAACCAATCGGCAGGCTGCAAACTGTCTAGCTTCAGGATGCCAAAAAGTGATTAGAATACGATTTTGAAGAAGAGGGGAACGAGGAATAAAACCAAACCTTTCTGGGGAAAAATACTCAGGCGGTAGTCCAAAATAGAAGGGTCCCAAAAAGCTGGGGAGTATACACATTTGGGCTGACTTTCAGTCCTTGGAAGTCTCTGGAAGATTATCCTGCGCTAATGTGTAACGGTTAATATATAAACTCATGATAATATAAACTTATGAAAAGACACTTTTCAAAATATTGCTACACGCCTGTTGTTACTTTGTCGCTGTCAAGAAATGCAAGACTGTTGCGCAACACCAACAAAAAAAAAAAGCCTCTCTTGCTCGCTAACAAAGCCAACTAACTTCAAGCCATTTCTTCGTCATGCCCAGTTTACTTTAAGACTCGCAAAACAGACAAAACTGAAATATTATGTGTTCAAA